TCTCTGATTGGCTACCTCACAATGATGACATCAGCCTCTTCCTCCATCCCTTTAGACAACACCCTTTGTGCCTCACACCCCTCCCTGACTCCCCTCCTCCTTTTTGTCCAACCATTCTGGACATTTGCGTTCATTCACACACATACATATATATATATATATATATAATTAATTAAGTGGTTGCCATTTTTGGTTAAAATCTCCACAATTTAAATGGCAAACCAGAAGGGAAGCTGGGGAAGCAATACTCTAATCTATTTATGCTCTTCATTTCTCTTATATTAAGATTTCCTTTTATTTTCTAATTCTTACTGTGTTTTCTGGGAGCATGAGAGCACAATCCATGTTCTGATTATGTCTGAATTTGTATAACAGAACTGACAACAAAGCTGACTTTAGACAAATTATAGAGAGCAAAACAAAACTAAGAATAAGATATTTCAACCGCACGTCTGCTTTGCCGTTCAAATTTTGGAGGGTTTAACCAAAAATAGAAATCTCTTAATTAATGTGTGTGTGGATTTATGTCCACAATGGACAAAAGTATTCATATTATTTACTGAAGTACAATTGCAGAGAATTATTTTTAAAAAAAGCTCTTCTTTGGCAAAAGCAGAAGAACTGGAATAAAGTGAGAGAAATCTACTCCAGTCAAAAAGCAAAAAATTGTCATATGCAGTTAAAGACACACAACACGTTCTTCACAGTTCAAACATCTGGATCCTTTCCAGATGCTCAGAACCTGTGATTCTCTGAATATTATGGCTTGTTTTTGCTCCCACACCCAGTAATAGTTCCAACCACTGGTTGTGCACACTCTCAATCCCAATGACTTTTTACAGAGTGAGAATCTTTTACTTTACATTTCCCGTTTGATGCCTTCTTTTACAGTAGTATGCAAACTCCATTCCATCCGTTTCCATTTCAGCACCAGAACTCGACACATTATGATCCACATAGGGAAAATTCGAGTCGAAACCCTTTTTTTTATTTTATGCAGACTGCTGGAAAATATAGCAGAGTTTCCATATCATTTGTCTACTGCAAAAAGGAGATTTTTTGTCTCTGCTCCTGGTGGAAATCAGGTTTAGTCTTTGTCTGATAAGAGCCGAAGGAGAGAATTTCCACAGGGAAAAGCCTGTCTGGGCTAAAGTTTCTGTAAATTTGGAATTTTCTAATGGCCGTCAGCATGGCAAAAGACTTTAAAAATTTTTTTAACGTTTTAGCATAAAGCATAGTCAGATATCCGTGGAACTAGGTACCACAGAATCCCATTAGAAAAATAGCTTTCTATGTCTTGTTTGTCTTTTTTATGTCCCGTTTACCTTTGGACTGTGAATAAAGTTGACTTTGGCAGAAAACCAATTACACATCACTCCTAAATCTGATTCTTGTCTGTAGAAACGGCAGAGAAAAAAAGAAAAATCACCATTTATAGGGTGTCTTTTTAGCATTTTGAACTAAATTATAAGAGCTAAATCAATCAAAGAAAGCTGATGGAAGGAACTGAAGGTCAGTTTGTGCTCATTTAAGTTGATGAACATGGGATGATTTGAGGTATCTGGATTAATATTAAATGGTTTTATGTGAAATAACATTAAAAAAACGTTTTTTGGGGGGGTTCCAGTGCTGGAACCCCTAAAAAGTGCTGATCTCCCTAAATGCAACTGCCCCCAAAACCACTTTTTGTTTTCTCTCACAAGTTTCAAATCTATTTACAGACAAAAACAAACAAAAAAACGCACGATTACAGAAAATGAATCTGTTCTTTCTCTGAAAGGGGGACAATGCTCGAGTTTTACTCAGTTCAGTTTAGTTCCAAACGAAAAAAACAAACTAAAAATTGACCCCGGTCAGTTCGATAAGTACATAGATAAATAAAATCCACCAACACATTGCAGCAGTAATCAGGTTCTGTCTCACCCACATTGCATTTTCAACGATGCTGGGCCTGAAGTTTCTGCTGTGGTCCAGTTTCTGGGTCGATCCTGGACCAGTTCTACACGCTCTGACTTCAATCCTGGACTCTGAGTTTTATCAGCTCTGAGTTTGTTCACCTGGAATGAGTCCCGACTCTAAAAAGCCATCACCAGTGGAGCCCCGATACCACCAGTCCACACGTCCATCTCAAGTTCTGTTAAATAAATGAATGAAACGTATTCAAACCAATAAAAACATTCTCTCTACCAATATAAAGGAGACAGACCCCCTAAAACACTGTCAAACATCTAATATCCCATCCTACAAATGTGAAATATTACAGTTTGTTACCCTACAAATGTGCGTTACTGGACTTTTTAGCCCTTCAAATGTGCAATATTTACTGTTTTTTACACAAAAATTTGCAATTTTACAGTTTTTACCCTACAAATGTGCAATATTTACAGTTTTTTACCCTACATAAGTGGGTTACTGGAATCTTTTTCCCTACAAATGTGCAATATGACCATTTTTTTACCCTACAAATGTGCAATATTTACAGTTTTTTCCCTACAAATGTGCAATATGACCATTTTTTACCTTACAAATGTGCAATATTTACAGTTTTTTACACTCCAATTTGCAATAGTACAGTTTTTACCCTAGAAATGTGCAATATTTACAGTATTTCCCCGACAATGACTGGGAATATGACTTTTTTGTACAATTGTAATGTGTAATATTACAGTTCTTACCCTACAAACGTGCAATATTTACTTTTTTTTTACCCTACAATGTGCAATATAACAGTTTTTGCCCTAGATATTTGCAATATTTACAGTTTTTCTTCCCTACAATGTGCAATATTGACAGTTTTTTACACTACAATGCGCAATATGTATACAGATATATTTTACTATTCACATATATATTTATTTCTGCAATGCACACACACCCAGGCCTGAGCACCTTACCTCACCTTACCTTCATGCTGTATGTATATATTTTCTATAATTGATATTTGGATATTTCTGCACTGTTTGGAGTCGGCTGTAATCTCATGTGTGTGTGTAATGATGCTAAAAGGCTTTCTGGTTCTCTGAAACAAAAGGTGGCCCCCAGCCAAACTGTGGAGGGAGCTCCTTTTCCCAGTTTCCTGTTAAATTAAATTTCTGATTTTTAAATTTACATTTGTTTGGACGAACATTATGACAACAAAAATAGCTCATCAGAGTTTTGGGTGGTAAGTGTCTTAAAAGAATAATCTTTTTAAGATCAGTATATGTGTGTCACAAAACAGTCCACAAGAAGAATACTCATAATCATATATTTATATTTCCTTCTACTCTATAAGAATCTAAACTAAGAGCTAGTAACTAACCAATTTTCCATGGAAAACTTAGTTCTGTTTAAAACAGCTTTTAGGCATTTTGTGGTATAATCCTTATTCCCATGTCTGGATCTACTTGTTTTGAGCAAATTCATACATGTATTTATTTCCCTTTCAAACCCCTTTTTTCTTGACATCAGTGGGTGAACGGGACACGTCCTAATAACCAGGGGAGTGGATAAATGACCAGAAAAAAACGGCCCAGACTTAAGTGGCCAGACATTACTCGGAATAATAAATCGTTTTTTCTCCAGTTAGATCATCAGCTCTTAACTAGATAGATGGATGAACGGGGGGTCACTAGAATCTGACACGTGGGGGGATCTGTGGGCCCTGCCAGCTGCAAATCAGCTTTAATATCCCAACCGGAAGTCATGGAAACAGCTACAATGATGTATTCTGCTTTCTTTCTCCAGGCGACGTGCGTAAGACATGACGTCATCTGATGGCTCATGTTGTTAATTTAAACCTTCTTATTTCATTTTATCCAATTATTATTATTATCATTATTATATGACAGTAACTGACATAATATAACATTTTTAAATAGTATTTTAATGGTTGGGCCGTGGTAAAAAGTGGGTGTGTAAAGACACGCCCACTTTGAAGCCACGCCCCCGATGGCAGAGATAAACTTAAGTTTGTTTTCGTGAAAAAAAATATCTTGAATTAATTAGTGACTATGTTTAAATAAAACGCAGCATTATTTGTCTGCAAGGAAAGCAGAAGTATTTTTAAAAGTGTTTTTATTTATGGTGGTGATTATGTTGAGTGTATAATACACACATTTTACCAGTAAAATCTTGGCTCGGTGTTTAGTCTGTGGGGGTATTTATGAGTCGCGTGACGTTTCTGATGGATTTCTTTGGTCCATTTATCTGATCAGATGACAGAATGTCTGAAACGTGAATCCATATCAAATGGCCAGTATGGCAAGTCTTTAAATCTTTCTTAAAGTCTCCAAAATGGTGTTTAGAAGAAGTTAAGATAGGTTTGAACTGTTAGGATTGTGGGGAAAAAATACAATGTCTTTACATATGAAGCAGAGAAGTCCAATTTAACTTTTAAAAAGTATATATATTCTTTTTTTTATTGTATTTGATCTTTTTATAGTTGGGCATCTGTCCTAAAATTTGGTTCAAATTAAAGAACTCCAGTAAAAAAAAAAAAAATATTATTTTATCAAATAATGCAAAATTTTGAATATAAATAAAAAATGTGTAAACAAAAAAAATGTAAAGACAAAAAAATGTATTTTAAGGAATGCTTTATTGATATCCAAACAAACACAACAGAACCAAAAAAAAAAAAAAAAGCATTTAATCATTTGACCATAACATCCAAATTCCAGTCCCTTAATAAGCTACACAAAATAAACCCCAAACCTAAATAAAGCTGAGTGTGCACAACTCTGACTCCACTGAGCTGCACTTCCTCTTGGCACCTAAAACAAAAATAAATCATCCCACACCGACGTCCACCCATTGGTTTCTCTGCACGACTATGTCAGGATTCCAAAATAAGTTACACAAAAATGCAGAGTTCTCGTTAAGTGTGCGTGACGGGTTTTTTTTTGGCCGCGACGATGAACCTGGACGAGGTCCGGAGCCAGAAAGAGAATCTGTAACAGGATTTAAGAGAGCCAGTGACACCCATAGAAAAAGGCCATGACCAAAAAAAAACTAAACTAAACAAAACAAAAAACAACATAGAAAACAAGGAAAATACATGCGAGTTATCACACACTGGAGCGGGTTTAAGGATGTTTTTTTTTTTAAATCAGCTATGTTTTCAGCATTTTATGAAGCTTTTGGGTTTTTTTCCGGTATGTTCCAATATTTTGGCAGCAGAGGAAGGCCAAAGGGAATTCACCAGAGCAGTGGCGAGAGAATATTTGGCGATATGTGATGGCAACTTAAACGAAAACCCTAAAAAAACAAACACAAATGGTTCAATTTCTTTCTCTTGCTCTGGACAAAGTCCCCGTTTCGGAGGCCGTGTGGTTTGTAAGAGTGACCGGGTGGTTAAAGAAGGCTCAGTGGACACATTAGTGACTTTTTATGTTCATTTGACCTCAGAATAGGCAGGACGAGGCCGTCTAGTTGCGCTTAATGTGTGTGAAGAGCACAGCGTCTATGTACACCAGGGGTTGCTATGGCAGCGGGAGATTTCTGGCAACTTCAATCCAACCATAACGTCCCACCTGGAAATGAAAGGGGAGCAAAAGAAAAAGAATACAACGGCTTCCTACCGGCTAAAGAATGAGCTATCTAAGTGAGCAGTGCTTATAGAGAAGCACCGACTCACAGATCTACTTTAACAGAAAACAAACAGGAGGAAAGGATAGGGACAGGAAATCATCACAGTAAAAAGTGCTTTCAAAGCTTTTTGGGCCTCTCGAAAAGCACTTTGGAGTTTGACTCAAATGCAAATTAGACCGGTTTAAAACCAGATTGTTGTTATCCTGGTTTAATTCAGGTTCTGGTTTTTAAACCGAAGCGATCCCTCCTGACTGACTATATATATGTGTGTGTGTATATATATATATATATATACACATATATATCTATTTGATGTGTCTATTTAATTGTACATATTGATAAAAATTATGTAAAAACATTATTCAATGCACTGTAAAATAGTTTATAATACAAAAATGCTTTAAAGATTTTTTTTTTTTTTGTCCTGTTTTTACATGTTGCGGGTGTTTTGAGGGGTGCTGCACAAAGATTTACAAGATCGATCGGAGGGTTGGTATGTTACAGCCCAGACGAAAAGAGAAAGTCACCCCACGATGGAACCAGCGGAGCGGCTTCAGAGGTGGAACCCCGGCTTGTGGGAGAGTTTGCTGAGTGTGCGTGCGTCGCTGATGGAGCTGGAGGTGATCAGAAACGAGAGGGGAAACCCTCCACCATCCCCAGAAAGTGTCATTAATGAGCTTTAGCCTGGAAGAAGAAAAAAACAAACAAAAAAAAAAAAAACATATCCCCTGCACAAGAACATCAATTATCAAGAGAATTTAATTTTTCCTCCCAATCGGACAGCTTTTAATGCCCCTTTTTAGTTTTTTTCTTCCTTTAAGTGAACTCCTGGATGAGCGACAACCTGTTTGAAAGGAAGTCGTTTTTTTTTTTTTATATCAGGACCGAGTTTCGTCCAATCAGGGAGCGGCAGGAGGCCATGAGCCGAACCACCAAAGAACAGCGGCCGGGCAGGAGAGTGGACGTCACGGGTCCGACTGGCGGGCGGCGTGGGTACAGTCTGTGGTCGGGAGGAGGAGGCTGCAGGCGGCGGGGGGGTGTGGGTGGGGGGGGCTCTCAGAAAGGCGGGTTCTCCTGGGTGGGGGTGCCGTTGGTCGGGGAGCCGGCCTCTCCGTTTCCTCTGGGGCTGACCACCTTTTGCTGGAGGGAGGAGACAGGCCGGGGGTGAGGACTCAACATGGCGAGATGCTGACTCATCGTTTTCTGTGTTACCGTATTTTCCGGACTAAAAGTCACACTTTTTTAAAAACATGTTTTGGTCTTATACTCCAGAGCGACTTATCAATGAAAAATATACCGGAAGATTCTCAGGGAATTTTCCATAATAAAACAATTTGACGTGACAGAGTCGCTCTTTTATTTAAAATGGCCACCGGAAACAGAGCTGCAATGCATCATGGGCACTGTAGTACGGCCATTTCTTCCTTTTGCCATCACAATATCATTATCCAAACTTTTCATGTTTAGTTAACATACCTGTATAGATGCGATTTATAGTCCAGTGCTACTTATTCATGGTTTATTCTTCTTTCTAATGGATGGTGCGACTTAGTCTGGAAATTATGGTAATAATAGAATCCTCATCACTTATTGGACACATCTGTTATCTGTCACACCACCCAAACAAAGGAAACAAGCAGCTAAACAGATGGTGGCAGATTAAAGATTTCATATAGAGAACATTAACTATGGAAAAAGAAAGCAGGAATATAAAGTATATTGAATATTTCGCCACAAACAGATAGAGGATTGTGTCTGGCTGAGCACAGAGCTCCTGTTATTGTAACGGTGCTCTCTACACAGCGTTGTGCACAGAGACTAACCTTCAGGTTCCCCACTTTATCCTCGAATGACTTGAAGGTCGCCGAGTTTCTGCGTGAATTAGAAAAACAAAAAAAGGTCAGTGCACACTGAAGCCAACAGTGAAAAGGAAGCCTCGAAGTAGAACCCATAAAACAGGACAATGTAAAACATCCATCTGTGGATTTGATGAATAGAACCTAGAAACAGAACTTTTCTGGTCTGGAAAGAAGAATTAAACACATGGAGAAAGCAGGAAAATACCATAAATACGCAATCAGAGCTTCAAAACCATCTGCTTGGCTTGGTAGAAATGTTACAAACGTCATGTTAAAAGATGTTTGTAGAGAAAAAGCTTTTATATCTGCAGACAAGCTGAACTTTGACTAAGTTTTCAGCTGTGTGGCAGACATTTCATCCATTAAGAGGATGAGGAAAGGCAGAGGCATCACAGTATCAGTGGACCTTTAGCAGGTAAAGGCAGTGTGTGTTAGCAGCAGCAGGTGTGTGTGAGTGTGTGTGTGTGTTGTGTGAGACTTTACCTCATGGCCGGCATACTTATCGAGTGGCGAATGGAATAGTTGCTACTTTGGAAGCATTAAAGACAGGAGACAGAAGGGCAGGTGTTATAAAACACAAGCAAGGGTGTAGCACACACACACACACAAACACACACTAAATCGCACGCTAGGGTTATTAATAAGAAAAAAACTGAGAAACACACACCCTCAAAAAGACACACAGAAGACACTAAAGTGCATATCAGGGTTATCAATAAGGCACACACACAGACACACATACACACCTACAACCACAGACACACAAAAGAAGACACTAAACTGCATGTTAGGGTTATTAATACGACACACACACACAGACACACACACACACACGCACACAACCACAGAAGACACTAAACTGCATATCGGGGTCATTAATAAGCCTGAAGGAAGGAGGAGTTTCTAAGACAGCAACAGACTTCATGGCTACCTGACTTATCTACCAAACGGCTAACTAAGCTCTACTCTTGGACTCATGTCTGCCCACAGGAGGGGTCAGCCTTACCTAAAGGAATTAGAGAAAGGCAGAGCCCTGCAGGTCAGAGCCAGGCAGCGTTTAAAAGAGGAGGAGACATCAGAAACATCAGCACACAGCAGTAAAGCGGTACACACACAGGAGAAACCACTGTTATCAAGATTAGAAACAGGGCAACAAGAAACCTGTAAAACCACCAGCAGTCCCTCAGCGTCTCTGATTTTCACAGAAAATGCGTTTCGTGTTCCCATTCATCTAACTGAACTGCTGCTCTCGACAGTTAGGGGTCAAAGTGGGACTAATCCACCAGGAGAGAGGACAATGTGGCTCTTTTACAACACCAGGGAAGAAATTAGGAAAAGCAAAAACACAGCGCAGACATCAGAATCTTTGGATTTTACATTTTGAAATTGCTCGAAGGTTTTTTTTGGGTGTTTACCGGGTTTAAAAAAAAAGGCAAACATGGCTTCTGGTAGATGACTTTAAGGAATTAATCTGAAGCTAATTCAGGTTTGACATGATGTGCAATTCAAGTGCAAGTCAAAAAGTGCACGTTTAACACCAACATTCAATGCTCCACTTAATCTGGGAGGGATCCTTCTTTTTCAGGTATTTTAAGAATTTTTATTGTGTCAAAAATAAATTACAAAATAAATTTAAAAAAATGGTGCATTTAAATGATTATTATTAGCAAATAAAATCAGCTGTATTAAATGCTGTGCTTCCCAACTATTGAAACATCATGTAAGTTTTAATTTTTTTTACATTTCTTTAATTTACTAAAATTATTATTTTATTTATTTATTCTTTAAATCGCCAGACACTAAAAATACTTTTTTTGTTGTTTATTTAACTCTCTTTTAAAAAATAAAAATACCTTTATTACATTAGATTGATGTGTTCTGACATAAATTGACCCAGTTTTCTTCCCCTCTTCCAGTCAGACCACTCATTTCCTCCCACTGTTAGCTTGATGCTATCTGTAATAGTGTATCTAGGCTGCGAGCGGCTTTGGATAAAGTGTTCTGCTGAAGTCTAGCCTGGGCTGGACGCTGGTCTGCGCTGTACCTCATGTCGCCCAGTCTTCTGCTGATGGCCGTGCCCACTGTGCTGAGGGCGGCGCTGGTCTTCTGGCCGGCCTGGGAGAGGGTCTCCTGGGTCTTTTTGTACCTGCACAGAGGAGATGGGGGGGGGGGCCCAGGGAGGGATGACGATGATGATGATGATGATGATGATGGTATTTGGGATGGCAGGACAGGGGGAGACCATGGAGAAACACAAAAAGGGAAAAGGTGGGTGGACCAGGGAAATAAAGGAAATGCTCAAAACAAAACAGGTGTGTAGGTAAGAGATGGCCCAAGAGGACATAAAAGGGGTGAAAAGACAAAAAAAACATTAGTGCCTCTAGGTACAATAACCAACAATAAGAAACCACAACAGCATACAAATTGAAAAAATAAAAATAAAAATCCTCCAGAACATAACATTCACATTAATAGCAAAACACAAAAATGTGACTTTGTCGGAGAAGAGTTAGTTTAGCTAAAGCTTCATGTGAAACTACTTAGGAGCACAGAGAAATCCATCAGGAGCCCCAGTCAAGAAACAGCCTTTGGGCTGGGAGTGCAAAAAGAAACCAGAAAGTTCTCAAGTTGTCACCATGAGGAACGACAAAAGCCTCAGAACAAAGAACATTTCTGTTAAAGACCCTTTCAAGAGAAGTGTGTTAAGAGCTCCTTTTAAACAAATGTTGTAAAAAGCCTCCATAGGTAAAGTGTTTAGACCTTAGGACGAGCAACTGTCTCAAACGCCTTTGGACAAAGAAGAAAAATGTTAATGCCTATACCTATATACGGTATTTTTATTCTAGTAATTAAATATATTTATACCATAAAGTTCTATTCTGGCCTGCTGACAACAAATAATATGGTGAGTATCCTATCCTGTCACCTTGGAGACGGGGAGCCATGTACTTGTGTCTACTTTGTAAGTGGCTTTGGGTAAAAGCCTCTGCTAAATGCATTAACTTAAACAAGATGACCATGTCAACCTTTATCCAAAAAAGTGTTGCAAAGTAAAACCCCAAATATCTTCATTGCAATGGGCAAAAATCTGGGTCTGCGTTCAGTCATGGGAATTCAGCACTATCCTTTATCCGACATTTGATCATGTGAAAAATGTGTACAAAAGTACTAAAACTGTGCCGGTGTCCAAGCACGATTCTGTGTCTATACTATTCATTTTCTCTAATCAAGTGATACAGGAACTTCATGAAAAATGCTTTAAAAAATGACATGACCTGGTATCTGTTTTATGCATCCCAGCATAATGGCCAAGCAACAAGAAAACCAGAGAACTCATTGATCCTTCAAATGGTTTTTTAGAGTTTTTACTCTGCTGGCTTTTCGTCAGATTTTGTGGGATGATATGCGTCTCATGCATTCTTCCACATCAATTCCAGTTTTTGTCCTATGTTGCCACGCTTCAGTATTACCAAAAAAGATTTGTAAAAAACAACTAACACCATTAGTACTAATAACAATAATAATTAACTCCTTTCCTTGCTTAACCTGCATGATTTCCTTTTAAAACTTCCCGTTTTGTTTGTAGCCTTAATTTAGACACAGTCGAACAGGACCAACCACAATTTTCAAAGCTGCGTGAAATCTGGAGTTTTAGACCCGGACATTCCTCTTCCCATTGATACCCTCCAGCTCAGGACCTTCCCAGATCATGAACGAATGAGTGAATTCATTTATTTCAGATGATTCCACTGACAAAAAGTGCTACAAAGAAGAAAAATCCCAAACAACAATGCATATAAATCAGTATGTCCATATATACATTTCAACATAAATAGAAACTAATAATATTGACAGTATATCAAATCAACTAAATGTATATACCCTCACATGTGACCTTTATTTGTGGGAAGTGTCTGAAAAAGGGTATGAAGAAGTAAAACTTACTTCTCCAGACCCCTTCTCCCTCTCATTGCCCATAACATAACTAGCAAACTTCCTGTTTCCTGCTTGATTTCTATGCTTCTGATCCAAAAGTCACAAAAAAATAAACACATACACCGTGAAAGGCGAGATTTTGGAGGTATATAATAACTTCACAGAGTTCCCCTCCCCACAGGAACCCTAAACAGATGACCGAGCCTCCTTTAGATGCAGATGAGGAGCAAATGGACTCCACACTCCCTCTGGATGTGAGAGCTGCTCACCTCATCTCTAAGACTCAGGCCTATCCCCCTCTCAGAGACACTTACATTCTGGATCGGATTCTTTTCAATCACTCTCCAGATCTAATGACTACATTTTAGCGATGGCTAAAACAAAGACTGACCAACAGTAAGCCCTCCACAAACTGGCCTCTTCCAAAGTCAACAGAATTATATAAAAAGGGTAGAGATGCAACTAAGAGGTTTAGAAGTTTGCAGTATTTTTTTTCTTCACCATGCCTCAAGGGTCTATCTATTAAACACAAAAACAAGGTCTGTAAAAAGCCTGGGGATACTCCAACGTGATTGCAATTGGTAATGGTGATTGGAGTCTAGATAGCCGTCTCTTTTCTAGTCCAGCCGACTTCTCAAAGCAATTTCAAACTACAAGTCACATCAGTCTCGCTTGAGAATGCTGGGATTTGATACGGCCAGTCCCTAAACACAACACACTTTGTGCACCTAGACACACAGACACTATTCATACAATTCATGTCCGAGCCCCATTACCCAACTCCACTCATGGAATAGTTCTTAGGGCTGTAAAGACCTGGTCGACTGGTCCACTTACTGGTGGACACGTTCTGGGTCGACCAAAACTCTGATTTGTCTTTGAATTCACACAGTCTATAGTTAATTTCATCAGGAGGAAAGTACCAAGTGCTTACGGGGGTTTTCAGAGGACCCCTGTTTCACAGGTAACAGCCTGTCTTTAGAGAACACCCCCCTTTTCACGTTTATTTATTTATTTATGTAATGCGCAATCGCTCCGTGGCCACTGTTGTTTAATGAAGATTGTGTATAATTGCCTTCTTGTCATTTATCAGCATATTTTCTGAAATAAAGGGCTATTATATTGCAAAGATACATGTGATGCAAAACGCTGTCCACTGGCCACTGCTCACATGGAACCCTAACTCTAACCCTGGGTGAGTCAGTGCTAAGATTGTAACAGGTACCAGGTGCTAACCTCTAGTGGATATGCAAAAAATAAATAAACATTTATTTATTTTTTCTAAAGAGTTGGGCGGCTCTGAATAGGCTCTAGGGAAAAAAAGCCATAACAAACGTTCCAGCCGAGACAATCCAGAGACTTTGAGCAGCTTGGGGTGGATCTCTTCCGCCCCTGGGAGGTTTTGGAACCTGTCAACTGCTGTCAACATGATGGAGAGGGGAAGACTACTTTTTCAGTGGAAAAGGTGGTTACTGATGTAAGACTGCAGTTTTCTTCTTTTTAATCAGCCACTAATTGTGCCAGTTCTCCTACTTAGAAAGATGAGAGGGGTCTGTAATTCTCATAAAAAAAACCCATTTTTGATGGAATTTTTAAATGATATATTTGTAAATTATGGTGGGAAATAAGTATTTGGTCACCCACAAACCCACAAGATTTATAGCTCTCGCTGACCTGTAACTTCCTCTTTAAGAAGCTCTTCTGTCCTCCGCTCGTTACCTGTATTAATGGCACCTGTTTGAGCTCGTTACCTGTATTAATGGCACCTGTCTGAGCTCGTTACCTGTATTAATGGCACCTGTCTGAGCTCGTTACCTGTATTAATGGCACCTGTTTGAGCTCGTTACCTGTATTAATGGCACCTGTCTGAGCTCGTTACCTGTATTAATGGCACCTGTTTGAGCTCGTTACCTGTATTAATGGCAGCTGTCCACAGTCCAAACAGAACCGTGGCCAAAACCACACAGCTGTCCAAGGACATTAGGCTGGGGAAGAGGGAATCTACAATCTACTTTTGGAGCAATTCCTGGAAAATGGAAGACATACAAGACCACTGATAATCTCATTCGATCTGGGGACCACAGAAGATCTCATCCCTTGGGGTCAAAATGATCATGAGAACGCTCGGCAAAAACCTAAATCCGATTAAACCAAAACAGGAAACCAAAATCAAACTCGCTGTGTTTTGAGTGGTCTAGTCAGTCTCCAGACCTCATAGCGATAGCCCCAAAGCATCACTGGTCTAGAGGAAAGCTGCATGAACAAATGGGTCAAAGTATTGAGTATGGAGTTGAACTTTTGATATTGACTAAATACTTATTTCCCACCATAATTTGCACATAAATTCTTTAAAAACCCGACAATGTGACTGATCTCATAGTTGAGCCGATGAAGAAAATGACAGACCTCTTTCATTTTTCTAAGTAGGAGAATATGCACCCAAAGTTGCTGACTGAGCACTTTCTGCCCCACTGTACCACTTAAGTTTATTTCCTATTTCTGAACGCCCTCAGGAAGATCGATCCTAATTTAGCTCCAATTATCTTGAGCCAAGAAAGCATAGCTTGACTATAAGACTGTTAATCAGAGAAGAGAAAACAAACTGGGAAAAAAAAAACAGCATGGATAGTGAAGGGGATGAGAAAGTCCTCCATATACCAAAGCACACGTAAAGAAACCTTACAAGATCTACAAAAACAACACAAAAGAGAAGGAGGTCAACTCACGCTTCAGAATGGGTAATGTCATCCAAAGTGGCAGAGGCAGACAGATATCTGAAGACACAACAGCAGGATAATGACATAAAGGAATAGGCACACACTCACACAATGCAACAGTGTTCTGTCATTTATGGTGAACAGCTAAGCTCCTCATGGTTAAACAGATCAGAATGCACACAGTTTTATCCAATTTTGGAGGACAAATTCAACTTTAGCTTTGATAGAACAAAAGTGTCATTTGTGTTACATAAAAACTAATTATCATTTACATAAATTATGATATTCTATGTTTTGGGGGACTGTAAAATAACAGTGCTGCTCATCAATAAAAAATTTTTTTAAATACCAAATAATATTTAGAAAATGTATGTTTAACCTTACTGTAGAGCAAATGTAGAGAAGTATTCAAATGTTTTTAACTAAATGCTAAACAGTGCTGAAAATAACCACTTTAGTTGTTTAAGAAACTTCTAAAGCAAAAATAAAAACATATAAATAAACAGTTCCATTGTTTGAAATAAAGCAAAGGGAGTGATATGATCCCTTTTGTTTTCAGGTTACATTTTAATGGCTTTAATTTTTCTTTTAAAAGTGCATTCATCAGAGGGGTGACTTTTGCCACTGTGGCTAATACTACGACAAACTATTTTAAATGTTTTTTGTTTTTAGCCTCCTTAAAAACTATCAACAGCAAAAAACTGGACTGCAGCTTGATGAGGAGGATCACTTAAAAGAGAGGAGAGAAGTGAGTGATACAGTTTTTATAAGGCAGTTCAATTCCCACACTGAGGACAATTTCAGTGGTTTTAGGGCACAGCAGGAAGATGAAAGAATTATTTTATGTGCATGTGTTTAGAAAAAAAAAGTATTTTATAAGTCCCGAAACAAATTTACATTCAAAAATGAAAATAAAAAAAATTTACTTTTCAGAAAACAAAATGACATTTTAGGGAAAAAAAATAGTAAAGATTTAAATTTAATTTGTCTCCAAAATGTACATTTGTTTCCCAAAATGTAAATGTTTTGTTTATATTTCAGGACTTGTTGTGCATCTTGTTCATGTGTTGTTTGAAAGGTGAATTTTTCAAAAGTGTTTTGTCATTTGCAATGTTGGTTTGCGCCTCCCAGCCACCGTATTAATGACTCCTTTATCTATTAATTACATTTTTTAGCTGCCGTGTTAAAGGCACTTATGTATGTATTCAATCAAAGTTAAAAGCAGCCATATTACAGGCTCTGTTAGGTAAAAAGTATCTGTGCTATGCTTTACGTCACTATACATATTCCATTAAGAGTTTAAAAATCTAAATCTTAAATATACCTGCAAACCTTAAATATATAGGGTAAAAAATTAAAAGATTCCATCGCTTATGAACCTTACTGAAGTACACACACAGTATATTTATGCAGTGAATTAGTCACACTGATGGCAAGTTTTCTTTCATCTGTGTGTTCATAGGATTGTAAATCCACTAAAGATTAAAAAAAAGAGCGGTCTGTCAAGTTCATCTTTTCAGATTAGAGCACCACCCACACCAGCTACTGCAAGCAGGACAGCTGGAAACAAGTTCCAGCCTGGAAAACGCTCGCTCTGGGTCAAAGGGCACAAGGGGAACAGGGCCAGGGAATCAATTAGTCCTCAAACCTCTGCTTTTTTTTTTTGTTGAGAATGATCTACCAATTAGTCAATCTAGCATTTCTAGAGTGAAATCATTCTAACTATATGCAAAATATGACCTTTTCTCACAAGCAAAATAAAAACTAAAGGGATTCTTATGCAAAAGGAACATAAAGTTAAGTAAAACCGACACACGTGAATCTGAAAACTGTCCATGTTGGTGTAAAAAACCCGTCTCTCTCTCTCTGGACATATCACGTATGCAGTTAAAAGGGGTCATTTTTGTCCTCCTGGACTTCATTTCTCACATTCCTCTCTCCTCCGGTTTGTGCTCACAGCAGCGTAGCAGAGCAGCTTGGTGTCACAGGTAGGTGTGGAGGAATGCGGGCCCGGTACACAGGCTGCTCCCTACACAGTGTGCGTCTGTGTGTGCACTCTAAACCTTAACCCTGTAATGCCAAATGTATGTGGTTTCTGAAATGTTTTAGGTCTGACACCTTTTGCATAAATATTCTTGGATCGGGCTTTAAAGGGTTAACACGGAACGCGAAATCCTCAAGTACTCCGACTTTGTGGCCCAAAACATCTTAAAGCATCCAGAAAAAAATAAAAAAACATAAGCCGATATGCAGTGGTGGGAAGTAACGAAGTACAAGTACTTCGTTACTGTACTTAAGTACAATTTCCGTGTATCTGTACTTTACTTAAGTAGATTTAATAATTGATACTTTCTACTTTTACTCCACTACATTTAACAGTAAGTATCTGTACTTTCTACTTCACTACATTTCTACACAGCGTTTCGTTACTCGTTACATCCAAGACGCATTTCGGTTTTTTGATTTGTTCGTTAGTTTGAAAGTATCCAATGGCGAGAGCAGAATCAGTCCGCTGAACCAATCCAAAGCGGGAAATAACCATTAGGCCCTCCCTCAAGAAGAGCAGCACAGTACGCAGGACCTGCATAAAATATCTAAATCTAAACTGTCACAGGGGGTAAACACAATAAAAACATGCTTTATCTGCAGCATTGCTCATTAAAATGGTACATTACTGATTTATTCAAACTAAATACGATAGGTACACTTAATGACATTATATAAGCCGTTAGGTATTATGGTTGGCAAGTACTTTTACTTTTAATACTTAAGTAGTTTTAAAAGCTTGTACTTTCTTACTTTTACTTAAGTAAAATAATAATGTGGTACTTTGACTTTTACTTGAGTAAATTTTTGTCTGTGTATTTGTACTTTTACTTAAGTACATTGTATGAGTACTTTCTCCACCACTGCCGATATGAAGCTACTGCCATTACTGACTCCAGAATATGCACCAATGACGTCAGCCTGCCTCAGCGAGCTAGTCAAGCCAGTTGACTTCAGATGGAGCCACACACAAATTCCTTTAGTGTCAGAGCTGGTAGCAGCAGTTTGAAATATAAAAACAAACAACAGGTATGGTACATAGCAGTGTGACCAAGTGTGGCTCTTCCCGGCATCCTTTTTTTGTCACAGGTTTAGCCGAGGAGCCAATATCACCCTGCAGGCCACCTGGACCTGTAAAGTCCTGGTCCACTTACTGGTCGGTGTTTTTATTTTAAAGTTTGATTTACCGCGAGTCCCTCCTCGACTAAGAATTTTACAAGATTAGTTTGAACTAGTTTGCACTTGTTAAATAATCAAATGAGTCGATTTTTTGTCGAGATTTCAGGGTTTCAGTGGACCGAGAATTTCTTTGGTTGATTCCAGCCCTGAAGCCAACAATGCTTCTGTGTTCATTAGGCAGTCGCACAATGGGCCCTGCACAGCTGGGACTCCATAGGCTCCAGTCCCCCCGTGACCATTAGCTAGAATGAGCTTTTAGCTGGCATAAAAAAACAAATGGAAGGACAATAGGCACTTTGTGAATATCAATGAGAAAGCTTCAGATAGTTAGAACTAGAGCACCAGGCCAGACTGTACCAGGAAAACGTCTTTAAATATGCCCTGCCACACATATTTTATTACTTTTGTGATTATGTCTGAAGTTCTACAATGGACTCTGTAACATTTTTTGTGGAGAAAATGCCTTGGTTATTTTGTTTCAAGCCATTCTAGCGTGGTACAGAAAACCGGCTGGAAGACTCGGCTTGATTTACGCTAGTTCTCATGAATATTCAAAATGCTCATCTGTTTGACTCTGATTGCTAACAGCTACCAAATGAGAGCCTAGCCTAACTACATTTCACACAACTTTAATAATATTAAATGTGTATGGTAAAACGGAAAAAATTCCAGCTTTGTTTTTGTTTTGCAGTAATCATAAAAGGGGAATCATGGAGCACATGTCAGAGCTTTTAGCTCCCCTGGGAGTTACCCATTGCTCTGAATGTTTTCAATTCATAATATAATTAGCAAAAATATGTTTGTGTTGTCTTTTGCTTTGGTTTTGTCCACAACCAGACAGCTAACTGAAAGCTGTCATGTTAGCTCAATTTTAGCTTCATGGCGTGAACTTAGCTAGGCTAGCAAGCGCTAGCATTGTCCAAATTGAAAAAAACTCGAACTTTGCTAAGCTAGCAAGTGTTACCACTGTCCAAACAGACATTAAACCTGTATAACAGCACTTCCTCTCCTCTCTCTGGGTTCTTGGGCAACATGAGCATTGTTGAAGCTCATTTGGAGCCTTTCACACAATTTTACACATTCACGACACAACACAAACACATATGGACCTAGTAAAAACGGTTTTGTCTGGAAGGGCACCTTTAATTAATTTCTGTCTCCGTTCATAGTGAAAGTTTTGAAAAGCTGCGGAATCTTTCACTCAAAGTAACTAAAGTTAATACCCGGGTCTCCTCAGTTTCACCTGCTGATTGTAGGAACATCTTGACCAAGCAGAGTCTAAGTCTCCTAAATAAAATGAGACTAGCGGGAAATTTACTCCCATTATCTTCTCTACTTTAAATGTATCTAATGGGTTGAAACACATGAGATACTATTGTTTCAAACATCTTTACAGCTGCAGTCTGTGGCTTTCAAAATGTTTTCCTGGGCCAACATAAAAGAAAATGCCCATATAGTGGAACACCGATGGTTTGTAGCTAAGAAGGAAAACAGGAAGTACTAATACATCTCTGGAGCTGTTTAAGACCTTTTCATTTTATTCTATTTTTTTACAATTATGCAGCTTAACAGAGCCTGACTTGACATAAAACTGGAAATTTGTCACTTGGACGAAAAGTAAACAGAACACCTGCAGAGAAATTTTTAACGATTAGTCTCGAAAAACATTCCTGGTTGGTCTGAACACATTACAGTCTGGAGCTTGGACTCGAATTCTTAAATTCAGCATGTAATATAAACGAGAAGTGCCAAATCAGTTTTTCTGTAGGGAGGAAGCACCTGAAAAAGCTCAGACAGGAAGTACAGAGCAGGATCTGTGTCATCACTTCTGCAGACAGCGGGGACACCTGACTTCTAAAAGAGGAAGCAGGCTGGAGCGAGGGCACTGGCCAAATACCACCTCAGTGCTACGAGTCGAGCCACATGAATAACAGTCCTGACAGCAGGAGGATGGCAACAGGACCAAGAGGTCAGGGGTCACACACAGTTCATGTCAGGGGATTTTAAGTTTCCCTTTGCAGGAGATCATAGTCCGGCATTTTTAATGCCACTTATCTTATCACCATAGTGATAAGGTCTTCTTTACACCAATATTAGAAGTCAGTAATGTGCCTGTAAATTAGCATATTTATATAGTTAAAAACAGCATCTTTAAGCAGGTTTAATCGCACCTCACCCCAACAGTACTTAAAACGCCAACAATCAACACAATTGTTCTTTTCTTAAACTGATGTGAGGGAGTGAAGAAATGAATTAATTTTTAACACTCAGATCAGGGATTTGGTCAAATAGAAATAAACAAAAAACTTAATTGGGACATCCCAAAAGAATCTACCTTTCCTCGAAAGGAACCCATTAATAATATGGGCCAAAAATGAATCGCCCTCCATAAATCTCATGGCAAAAAAGTTTTTAAAAAAAAATCAGCAGGCAGCCTCTTGAGAGCCCGCGTTTCACATGAGGACGATGCATATCTGCATCTCTTTCCCATAATCCTTCTTTTTTGTTTGACCTCTTGGCCTTATAGCAGCTGCTATCAGACACTACTGTTTCGAAAATCTAAAGTAAAATGGTTTTAGACATTTTACACTAATCATTTATCTTATTGTGGAATCAAAATGTTGTAAATAAGTCATTTGGACCCTCAGAATCAAATTGCAAAAGAGTTAACTAAAAATATGAACAAACATTTTAAATCTAGAGATAAACCCACTAAACCTATATGAAGAAAAACTACCTGTACCATGACAGAGTCTAGTTATTATACTTATTAGCTCCTACTGATCCAGAGATCTGGAAAAAAGCAGAAATACACACCAAATAAAAGCTGGGCTCTTAGAAGGATAAAACCCCTGCCCTCATAGTCCAAGTTAAAGACTGGCTCCTGCTTTAAGGGGGACTGAGAATCAGGAAGAGCTGAGGGTAAGTAACAGACATCATTGGTGAGTGAGCAGTACAAAGCCATGAAGATGTTACCCTGAGGAGGCTGGGTAAGGAGTCAGAGCAGCCATGATTAGGTAATCTCACATGCTTGTCTGGAACGGAGCCATTCGGGACTCATTAGAGTCCCCTATTCCAACACACAGCTTTTTTATTGTTGCACAATAACAAACCCCCTGGATGGGACAAGCATCTACTCCCATGTTCAGGCACAGTCAACATCAACTAAAGGTGAGATAAACATCCAAATGAAAAGTAACCTGGTTGTTTTACTGTTTGTTTTTTTACTGGCTGTTAAAGATATTTAGACAGACATGTCAGTGGAGATTGCACTATAGATAACATTCAATATTGAATGAATGCAAAACTAAGGCCTCATCTCTTCTTCTTGGAAAAATCTTCAATTAGTTTGACTTCAAAGAAATATGTGCAGAGCTGAGAAGAATTCCCCATCAGCAATTTTAGCTGAAGAACTACGGCAGTGATGTAAATTGGAGGGTAAAACTATGTGATTAGGACCCAACTTCGGCACAGCTTTTTAAGATTTTACTAATTTTTAATCAAAGCGATGACAGCTTTTCAAAGCAGAGACAGACTGTCTTCTCCTTAAAGAATGAGGCTAATTCACCACATAAACTACAGTTTAATATTAGCGTTCACATTGGAAGCTTTCAAATGAATTCATGGGCTGATCTCCTGTCAGATTGAATGTGAATTTGAATGCCAGGGCAGAAGTCCACATGGTGGACTTTGAGAGGATCTGGACACTAGTTCCTCCTGCCCTCAAAACAATTGTTTCAGTACTGTCACTGTGAAGGGAGCTAGCTGGAAACTCTTCTCTGTTTTTTTAATTAAAATTTGCCCCTACAATGTCATTGTTACCAGATTTCCTTGTCTGGTGAAATTCCCCTTGCTTCTCCCTTAGCTAAAGCGTGATTTCTACCCACCGCGACTGTTCAAAAAGTGGACCTTCTTGTGCTTTTTTTCCTCTCAGAAATGAAAAGACCAGGAATCATCATGCAGACTTTAAAGGGCCTGCTTTACTTAGATCTTGTTTTAAATAAATGTGAACGGCATAAGTGCTCTTCAGAGCCTACCATTAACACGTGGGCAGTTTTCATGCGACGAGCTTTCTGCTGGTGCTGCTACTGTGAGAGCATTTCTACACTAATACAGTAAACTAATACTTCTTCTGTTAACCCATGATCGTAAAAAAAAAGAAGTCTGTAGATTAGTTATGCATTTCAGTTATCTATAAGAAAGCAGTCTGTTTTCTAAAATTATGTACGAGCTGGTTATTAGAGCCTGCTCCAGGGGGCCTTCAAAAGCCTCGATGCTGCTTTTATGCTGGATGTGATACTTAAAAAAAGATCCTAAGGTGGGGTTTTAGGAACAGGATCATTCAAAAAGACACTGTTTTTATTTGATGGGTGGGGGGCTGATGGGAGCTGAAAGTGATGCGAGCATATTGGAAATCGGACGAGATTTTCGGCCAGCCAACGCCGACTCAGCACACTTACGCGTTGGAGGTCTGGACGTCCTGCCAGCTCTTGGTGAGGTTCTGCTTGAGCTCGTTGAGCGGGTTGAGGCCCAGCTTCCTCTTCAGCTCGGCGGCGTGCCTCTCTTTGGCTGACAGGACCTGGCGGAGGGTGCTGATCTCCTCCTCCACCTGGAACGCCAACAGCGCCACCTCAGGTTCGTTACACTCTAAAGCCTCGTTTTAGAGCTACTAAACCAATCCACACATCAGGTAAAGGACTTTAGTCATCCTTCAAATGAAGTGATGCATTTCAGCCATTAATTGGGTGTCATATCTGCACATAGCATGAGATTGTAGAGTACATAAAATACTCATGTAGCCACAATTTAATATATTGTTTGCTAATGGTTCATAATTGCATGCCAAGCACAATGACAGTATAAAACACAGATCCAAAAGGAGAACTTGCTAAAAACATAACTTAGGTTTACCTCTGATGGTTCCGTAAGTCCCATTTATAGCAATGTTATAAAAGCATTTGTGCTCAATACTAAATATGGAGCTTTCTGTCCATCCTGTGTTCACTTTGAGTGTAATTTGGCACTTTTTAGGACCTTGTGGATGCCTGCCCAAACTTTATTGTGTTCTATTATATTCCGCTGGCTCTCATTTCTGTTCTACCAGCTGGTTCATGTGGACAAATATTGGTCCTCACACTTCAAACACCTCTCAGTGCTGGAAATGACGACTGTGGATTGATGCTTCTGACCAGCCAATCACATTTCTTATCAACTCCCCACTGCTGTCTGCATGTTTTCTTCTCAAGTAAAGTCAATGGTACATGTGGCTCGTTTTGTTTATTTGCTCAGATCTAGACTGATATTCAGCCTGAAATCGGGCTTGTTCTACAGGTTCTTTAACTGGGAAGGCTGTTGTTTTTTTAAACCCAACACAAGTGTTTGTTGACATTTACTAAATAAAATTGCCAAAAAGAAAAGTTCAATGATGGACCCGACTCTGCTATAAAGGTGCTCCTCGCTAACATCTGTAGGATGTGAGACCACCGCGCGAGGGCGGTGTGCAGCGGGGGGCTCCCACCTTGGTTAACTCGGTGCGGAGCTCCTCGGCCTCCTCCTCGCTCAGGCCGGGCGGCAGAGGGTTCCCCGGGCTGACCATCGACCCCTCCACCGGCACGTCGGACAGGCTGCCCGAGCCCTCCACGCCCAGGCCTTTGTTGGGAGAGTTCAGGTTGATGTCTGCCACGGCGAGAGGAAAAAAACAAAAGGGTCCATGTGGGATACAAAGGACGAAGGTAGCAGAAAACCACTAAATGTTTTATTGTAATGATTCCCATTTCATACAGTGGGGGAAATAAGTATTTGACCCCTTGCTGATTTTGCCGGTTTGCCCACTTACAATGAATGCAACGATATATCACTTTAATCATATGTACATTCTAACAGTGAAAGACAGAATCCCAAAGAAAATTCCAGAAAATCACATCGTATGAATTTATAAAAATTGATAACCATCTGATGAGGAAAAATAAGCATTCTTTGTAAGTGGCCAAACCTGCAAAATCAGCAAGGAGTCAAATACTTATTTCCCCCTCTGTATATAATGTCATTCTGTATTACCAAACACAGGACAATGCTCACGTTGGTATTTAAAAGGGAGGGGAAAGTAACAGGTAGTGGAGATTCACATCTCACTATCAGAAACTTTTTTCTTAGAAGATAAATGAGCTCATAAACAGCAGCAAAGGAGGATGGGAGGATGGGAGGGGGGGGGGGGGGGGGGGGAGGGGGGGGGGGGGGGGCGGGAAAAAAAAAAAAGAGCGAGGGGGCACTGAAAACAAACAACAGGACGACGGGAGAAGCTCCAGCTCCTGCTTCCAATGACGCAGCGAAGGACAAACGGACGCGCAGACGCACGCCGCCTCCACCCCAAAGGTGTATTTACACAGACGGGAAGGAATCAGACCGACGCAGAAACAAACCCACACACGAGACATTCTTCCTGGAAAAAAAACATATTCACACAGGAATCCGTAGCTCAGAGTAGAATCCAACCAGAGCTTCTTTTTTTGATATCACTAGTCTACAGCATTGTTTTAGAAAGGGCAAAGAAAAAAAGACAATAGCCAACACTTCCCCCTATTGAAATAGACATTTAAATCCCAAATTCTCATACAAACAGGTGTCAGTCTGACTCCCAGCAAAGCAGATTCTAAGTCTCTTTGTAAGCCTACAAATTCTTTAAGGGTACGACTCCCATATATTTGGATACTCCAGCAAAGGCCTGTGTCACAACTAGGTCACTCCCATCATCAGTGGATTGTCGTCTAGCAGTGTCTAGACCTACATTAACACAATCCAGACTCATTTCATGCGTCGCCCCACCGGTTCTCGGTAGAAATAACCTACCGAGAGCTGGGTGTGTCTCCAAGAAGCTCTTGACCCAGCTCTTCAGAGAGCATCTCCTTATCCTCTACCTCCTCTACCACTCTTATTCTTCTCTATACTTCTCTCCATCTCCACACTGACTAGTGATCTACCTCTATGTAGTTATTTTTTAGCTTTTTGCTAAGTGTAAAGTCCTATCTGCTTTGGTTGAAAGAATCAGCCAACTGCGTAAACCTAAACTAAGCTATTTCTGCACCACAAGGTCCAATAAAATGGATCTACTGTTAATAATTCATGAAGGCTACTTTGTCAGGAAAAAGCTCGACACAGAGGAGAGAGAGTCCTTTCATTGGATGGCTTGGAGAGCAGCATCGCTCCATGTGGATGCAGTGTCCCAGTTCAGTCCGATTCTGTCATACTTTGACACATAAGGAATTCAATCGACCCTAATCAGAGTGAAAACAGCCACTATTTGGGCTCAGGAAGCCTGATAACACGTGACATATCCCGCACGGTTTCTCGCTATCACAAACCACAGGACGCGGCTCAGGAAGAGTTTTCGGGAAATTCCAAACAATCTGCTGATGAAGACTAAAAAACAATGCTGGCACTTATACATTTAATCACCAAAATGGCCGTTGTTCCAAGACTTCAATGACAAATCTCAAGCATCTCTTATAACCTTACCCTGCTATTGATTTCAGAAAAATTACCATAAACTATGAGGATGTGTTTGGGACAAAAGTCTTCAGTTACCACAATATGCTGCCACTTTTACTTCCACAACATGGAAAACAAGGCAAAACATTTGATTTCCTGATCAGAAATCTACTTTATTTGAAAACATCTTCCATTTTACTATCTTTGTAGCATTAACACGAGTGTTGTTTACGTGTTTGTTTCAGGTTAAAAAAGGTGAAAGTGTTAATGGAGGTGAAACTTGGAATCTGAGGGAGAGATTTGCCCCTCCTTAAAGCACCACACATGGGAAACAACAAGCAAAAAGAGTTAAGTCATTTCCGTAGCACGCAGCCCCCGTGTGTGCCCGGTTAGTCAGCAAAACTGTCAGTTTTCCCGCAATATAGAAAGCCCCTGAACATAACAACAACCGTCAGCCGTGGGAAAGCGCGAGGAGAGAAAAGCAGGTGACGCGTTCACGGAATACCAGCAAACCGGCTCCGGCAGTAATAAACGGGAACTTTCTGTCCGTAGACGATAAAAGCTTACACAAAAGGCAAGAAAACCAAGCTCGAATTTGGTCAACTAAGCATCGTCAGACGAAGGAGTCAGAAAACTAGCTCACATTAGTAACATGATCCATCCTCCCTTCCCTCCCATCCTCTCCACCTGCTCCAGACCCTTTTATGGACCAGAGGCCCCGTCCTCCACAGACGGGTTTCCAAATACTATCTAAAAGGGTCAAACTTTGACCATAACCAACACGACTATTCAACGGAAGGGTAGTTTGACTACAGATAGGTTTCTAAAACCTTCTGCTGCCTGCTTTGAGCACGGTCTACGCGTAAGATAAGGCCATTTTAAGCTAACTTGCTCCACAAGCTAACAGTTAACGTTACCTTGACTGGCAGGGTCCATGGCTTCAATTTGACAGGACAGGGACTCCTTTATCAAAAAAAGTCGAATTCAACTTGGGAGAAACGCGTGCTAGGCACCCGGCACAAAGTTTGCCACTTAGTGTCAATGTCTCCGAAAATATCGACAGGTCCTACCGCGAAGAGACAGGCGTCGATAGCAACTGTCTGCAAACTCAAAACAGCACAACAGCCAGCTCAGCTTAAACAGAAGCCTTTCAAGCTCGCCACGGTAAGATAACCACATCCGGTCAGTCATTCCAAAGTAAGGCTCGTAGATACCGTTTCTGCAGATTTATTTTATTCCAAGTGGAATGTCTTTTTCCTCTGATATAAATAATATATATTTTT